CTATCCATTGTCATCTTTTCTTTCCTTACTTCCACATTTATTAATATGGAAGCCCTCTTCGGTCCTGTGTATCCTCTTAATTCTCCCCATGTATTGTTACGAATTTTGCAAAAGAACTGCATAAAGTTTCTGCTTGTACTTCATCACCTGTCGATGTCACCTCTAATTGCTACAATGGAGTCTGTCCTCATCACTCTACCCAAAGTAACTGGAACAAAGATAAAGTTATTATTCACCAAAGTCAGTGCTCAGTTTGTTACCCTCAACTTAGTTTATCCCTTGGTAGTTTTAATTGTAGACATCTTTTTAAAAAAACCCTTTCTATCATTGTTTATGACACTAAATCCTTTTGGTTTTCCTTACTGGCTACTCCTTCTGGGAGTCCTCTGTAGCTAATCTCTCATAATGTTGAGTGTTGACTTGTCCAGAACTCTGTCCTCACCGCTTTCTGTGTTGCACTTTCTTTTTCAGTGATCTCGACCAGTCCCACTGACTGACCAATCACACACTAACGGCTTTCCAGAGTGTTTCTAATGCCTGGTCTCGCTTGTGAACTCAACTCATTTATGCACCTCCTAGCCTGAAATTATTTTCCAAGGTCATGAAATTACCACAGTCAATAAAAAATATTAACCTTTCCTTTCTTTCTTTCTTTCTTTCTCTTCATTTTTCTTTTTCCTTTCTCTCTCTCTCTCTCTCTTTCTTTCTTTCTTCCTTCCTTCCTTCTTTCTTTCTTTCTTTCTTTCTCTTCATTTTTCTTTTTCCTTTCTCTCTCTCTCTCTCTCTTTCTTTCTTTCTTCCTTCCTTCCTTCTTTCTTTCTTTCTTTCTTTCTCTTCATTTTTCTTTTTCCTTTCTCTCTCTCTCTCTCTCTTTCTTTCTTTCTTCCTTCCTTCCTTCTTTCTTTCTTAGCTTTGCTGTAGGGTGTGTACTCACCAGAGAGAGATGGGAGTCGTAGGGAGGAGGAGGTGGGAAATCACCCCCCAGGAGGGGTGTCCTTACCTAAGTCCCTTCTCCTCTAGTTTCCTCTTGGCATTTTGGGCATGTATGCAAAAGCACCTGGGGTGATTTTCAAGCTGCTGGGTCAGAGACTCAAACCATGAAGTTGCCCAAGTGGGATCCAGCACCTTAACTTTCATGCCTCCTGCTGGTTCTCCAAAATATATTTTTTTAATCAAAATGTTTTCTATCCCAAGTCTCTCTGTTTCAATAAATAGTATCATCATTCATTTACTGTTTAAGACTAAAATATAAAAATTGTCCTGCTTTCTTTTCCCTCATACCTCATATCTAATCTATCAGTACATCTTATTGGTTCTACTTCTGACATACATGTCAGAATGGGCCCTCCCCGCCATCCTCTCTACACCTTCTTAGCTCAAGCCACCATCACATTGAAGACCATTGTCATAGCCTCTTACTCAGTCTCCCCGACTTTGCTTACCTGTCTCTCTACTTCTGAAGTCCCTTCCCCACTCTCTTAAAGTATAATAACACACGCCTACAAACATGTACAATGATTATTTGTGAGCCAGGAATCATAACTAAAATGCTAATGCAATGTCACATTTAGTTCCCTCTAACACTTTCCCATAGAAAGAGCCAAACATGTTCAATTCTGACCATGGCATTAACACCACCTCCTTTCATCCTACTCCTAATTCATTGTGTTTTAGGTCCAGTTACCTAAAAGCTGCCTCTTGAGCACCTCGAGACCATTCCCATCTCAGGGCTTTCCTGTTTGATGGTCTTACTGATCTTCATAGGTTCCTTCCTGCTCGTAATTCTAGTCTGTTCATGTTTTCAGAAAGACCTTCCTAACTGCTACAGCTGTGTCAGCAGACGTCTGCCTCCCAGGAAATCTGTATCACATCATCACTACCTCACGTAGCCTTTATCTTACTTATGAAATATTTTGATTGTTATTTGTGTGTTTATTTCTTGGCCTCTTTCACTGATGTACGCCATCAGACTTCTGTCTTATTAATTGCTTTCCTTCATGAACTGCTAAGAGTGCCAGGAACAAACTTACTAGTGACAAACACTTTGATGGCATTTATACATGCCAGGTACCATTCTAGGTGCTTTTTATATATTGTATCATTTATTTTTTTCTCAACTCTATGATATATTTACTGTTATTATAGATGAGAGAAATGCCAAGCTCACATAACAAGAGGCGAAACTGAAATCTAGGCAGTCTGGTCTCAGAGTCCAAACCCTTACCCACTCCATTGCATCTTTCCCATGGTCTACCTACCTTGTTCTTGATGTGAGTGGTTTTCAAATGCCTCTCTCAATGTGCATTCTATCCAGGGTAGCTTGACATTATTGTAGATCAGTATTCCTCAAATTTTTGACCTTAGGGGACTTTTAGAATTTTAAAAATTATTGGTACTTACACATCCATATTTATTGTAGCATTATTCAAAATCGCTAAAGCCTGGAATCAACCCAAAAGTTCTAGAACATATTGAAAAAGTGTGGCACATACACACTATGGAATACTACTCAGTCATAAAAAATGATAAGAGCCTGGCATTTGATCAAAAGTGGATGAATGTGGAAGATTAAATGCTGAGTGAAACAAGCCAGACTGTGAAAGAGAAATATTGTATGATCCCGCTTAATATATACAGAATGTCTGTACTCTCTGACAGAAACTGAAAGGTTGGAAGGCAGGGAGAGCAACTGCAGGCAGCAGAGATAGGGTGGGAGGAGAGTGGACAATGGGGAGGAGTGGGGGAAGAGAATCAAGGGGGAAAAAAGAAGAAGCAAAATCATTAAAAAAACGCACAAATGGAAAATTACCTGGTGATGATAACATATGGTAATATCTTAGACTGGACTAATATATAATGTATTAATGCTGGAAAAATCCAGTTTGTATGCTGTAAAGATGTACAGTGATTGAATGTGAAAAAATAAGAAAATAATAGAAAAATATATTGGGAAACTGGCCCCAAAGTGCACCAGTTAGGTGCTAATTACTAATTTTTTATTTTTGAGAGGTTTTTGCTATAGGGCAGCATTTTTTTGTTTGTTTTTGCCTGTGCTTCATTCTCCTCTTTATTGTAGTTTAAATTAATTAATTTATTTTTTATATTACATTTAATTATTAATTTTTTTTTGATAGGTT